GGGTTTTCCAGTTACAAGTCCTTTTTTAAAGCTGATCGTTTTGTGTTCATTTTGTTTAGTTCTTTTTTCGTAACAGATTCAATGTTTAGTATAGAGCTTAGAAAAAATTCGCAGTGTGAGACAGGCAAGAAGTAAGGCATGTAGCACGGCAAAGTGCACTCCTTTAAAGGGAAGGAAGGGCAAAAATATTTTATGTCAAGTGATAGCGATTGCTGTATGAGTCCTACGATTCTTGAATCAAGCACGGGCAACGCCGGGCCATGATGCTAGTTGTTTATAATTTTATCCTTCAAAAAATAAAATAGAATTCCATTTTTTCGATTATACATTCACCATTATTTGCAATCACTGCTTTTCAATTCTCAAGCACATTTTCGATACCTTTTGATCAAAATTATGATGTAAAAATCTTTTAGACAAATCTGATTTTCATTCCAGAAAGAAAACCCATGGAAGTGTTTACCAGAGATCGAAAACAAAAATAAGATGAGTGAGGTAAAATAAACAAAATTATTGTTGATGTTAATCTTAATGTATGTTACGGCAATGCAAAACACTAATCTATTTTAGTGTTATTTACACTATTTGCTTTCGGACTAATGTCTTCATCTTTGTTGTTGTTAACACAACGCTTCGGCCGTTGTTCCTTCCAGCCTTCATCAGATGTATATTGATACGGGTAACCTACAGGGAATTCCGAACAACCATTATTTGATCTTCGGGGATATACTGTTATAGTTTTACTGCCCATTTCTAGAGATGCCTCGTTTTCGTTCTTTCTTTTTCCACTGAGTCCGTGTGCGCATCGCCAAGACCAGTGATATAAAATCAAATTTACTAAGTTACCAAATTTATGTGCAAACGTCTTAAACAACTAGATTATTGTTCTCTACTGCTGGTGATGATTTGATGTTATTTTTCCTTATTAATTTATTTATTTATTATCTGCTCCCAAATTCTGTTTATTTCTATGCGAGGCCCACTAACTAGATTTCTATAGACTAGTGTATGCACTGGTTCTTTCAGTGTTCTTACGTGGCCTATATTTTCTGTTCATTCCACAGGAGCTGATGACAACACTTTTCGCTCCATACATGGTCAGCCATGCTTGATTTCCTTATTTCACTCTACGGCTTTTCGATCTTCACGCCTTATTTGTAAGTAACTGTTTGATTCAACTTTATATTCTTTACCCCAAATGCACAAAATTGTGTACAGACAGTTATTGGTCAGTTAGGCTTTGCCCAGTAAAGGTTTCACTGTAGAGCAAAGCTGTTTCTGAATATTGTAATGATGCTGTATAAACCACTAAATTATGGCATCCCTTTATAGCCCGTGGCAATTTTTGATCCGCATCTTGTCTCGTCTGTTTCCTCCTGCAGATTCTGATGTTATGTTTGCAGAATAATTATTATCTGAAAGTGACACGATGCTGATCATTTCTTCTTCGTATATATCTGAGTGACCAAATGATTTTTCTCGATGTTGTAGGCATCTGGTCATCCCTTTCTTCATACTTTATGGATGGTCGAAATTGAAGTTGGGTTATTGGCCGATGAAGGCTGACTTTTGATATATGGATGTCTTGAATCCATTCTCTTTTCAAGTTGTTAGTACATCCAGGAAAGCTAGTTGATTATTATTTTCTTCTTCCATTAGGAACTGAATCGAAAGCCTTATTGTGTTCGCATGGACCACAATATTTGTACAGCTTCCTGGTTCGGCGAGAGTATAATGGTGTCATTCTACTTATATGTCCCGGAAAGGGATATATTTGTCCGAAGTAGCTAAGTGGTTTTAGTTACTGTAATCAAGTAGTACACGGTAGCAGTAATCGACTGGTACTCGTCGTAGTCGCAGGTAATAGGTGTAGACCAATAGGATAGCCAATGGCGTAGTTCAATGGGCGTCGTCATAGACTTACACTTTGTCGTACCTACACGTCCGTCTGTATTTATGACGGACGCCGGCCAATCATATCCCATTGAGAGGGAACGCAGGTGTATGTATATTCCATTATATCTACGTATCGCAGCCATACTATTGGCTTTACTGTTTCTGTTACTATAGCTGTTTCTGCCATGTATTTCATCTATATGATCGACATCTCTGGTATCAACGGTGAACCCATAGCCAAGCCTTAACCCCGTTGGTATATATTAGTGTATATAATTATATCATGTAGTTGGGCATTTTTTTATGTTGTAAACTAATTTTAATATCTGTTAACTGGTCATATGATATTTCAGATACAGTTTTAGTTTGTCAATTTCCCGTGTATTATTCCCTTATCGCACGCGATTTGCGCAAAAATTGACAATTAATATGGAGCATTCTGTTTTTATTTGATTGTTCTTTCTTTTCTTTCTATCATTCTTTGTTTTTGTTTCTTTTTTAATATTTATTCGTTTGTTGCGTTTGTTAGCTTTTGTCTTTGTTTTTTTTATGTTTCTTACATTTCTTTGTTTCTTGTTGTGCTTAACTTCTTTTATCTGTTGTCTTTTGCTTCCTTGCTTGGATGTTTGTTGTTTACTTTCTTTCGTTTCTATTTCTTTCTCTTTTCTTTTTTTTTATACATTTGTTTACATGATTACATTCTTCGTTTCTTTCTGTGTTTTCTCTGTTTCTTTTTCCTTCGCTTATTCATTTTTCTTTCCATCTTGATTTCACTTCTTTCATTCTTGTTTTTACATTCTTTTTTTTACTTTTTTCTTTCTTTTTTGTTTGTTAATTTGTTTCTTTCCTTATTTTCTTTGTTTCTTTTTTTCTTTGATGTTTTAGTTTCTTTCTTTTCTAAACGTCATTCTTTGTTTTCATCCTTACTTTTTACTTTTCTTTCTTCCATTCGAGTATTTGTTTTTTATATTTTCTTTTTTTTTACTTTTTAATTGTTTACTAGTTTAACTTTCTCTCTTATTTATTTGTTTCTTTTTCTTATTTGTTCATTTGTTTCTTTCATTATTTTCTTATTATTGTATTTTTCCTTTCTTTTGTTCATTTATTTTCTATGTTTTCTTATATTTCCCACTGTCCTCCAATGTATTCTATACCTGAATAGACAAGTGTCAGACACAATCAGCGCAACTATTTTTGCATCTTATTCAATCTATTCTTTTGTTCCTATGAAAGAACAATCTTTCTCATTTTCGTCTATAAAACGTCATTTACTCATCGATACAACAAATCATATTAGTAAATCTAAAAGAGCGTCTCATAAATAAAAAAAAGTCTTGCGATCAATAAGAGGTTGTTTTTTTTGTTTTTTTGTTTTGAGTCCGATATCAAACATACTGCTTTCAACAAATTCAATAAAACTGAATGTAAATGAATGAATTTGATACGTTTACACTTGATAATTTTATCCGTTCATACAAAAATAATACACATCTCATCTTAGTGATTAAATCTTGACAATTTTATCCAATCACATGGGCGTATTTTTATATAAAAATATATATCCTTATTTACACTATTTATAGGTGGACTATTGTCCTCGTCGGCGATCATGCCCACCGGCCTTAATCAGATGTATGTCGATCCTATAACCTACAGAGAATTCAGAATTGAACACGTTATTATATCTACAGGATAGAAGAATGAAATTGTTATCACTGTATCTCAGCTATAACGTTGTACCTCAGCCATACCTTTGTATCTCAGATTTACCATTGTACTTCATCCATACATTTGTACCTAAGTGATACTATTTTACTTCAGCCATCCCTTTGTGCCACAGCCATACCGTTGTATCTTAGACCTACCTTCGTATATTCGGCATATCGTTTTACCTTAGCTATACTATTTTACATCAGATACACAAGAGTATCTCAGCCATAACGTTGTACACCATCAATAACTTTGTATTTCGGCCAAACATTTGTGCCTCTGTCATAACGTTGTACCTCAGCCATACCCTTGTATCTCAGACATACTATTGCACCTCATACAAACAGTTTTAACACAGCCATAACTTTGTATCTCGGTCATACCTTTGTACCTCCGCCATACTGTTGTATCTAAGCCATAACGTTGTAGCTCAACTATACGTTTGTATCTCAGACATACCATTATACCTCATACATACCGTACTATTTCGCTTCAGCCATACCTATGTACCTCAGCCATACTGATGTATCTCAGTCATACCGTTGTATCTTAGGTATACCGATGTAGCTTAGGCATACCATTGTACCTCAGTCAACTATTTTACATCAGCCATATCGTTGTACCTCACTTATACCTTTGTATCTCAGCCATATCACTCTAACTCATGTATTAATTTCGCAATTGTCTCACGGAACAATAGCCTAGTGGATTAAAGCGTTGCTTCGTCAATTAGTCGACATAGTAATTGCGAGTTCAATCCCTGGGCCGGGCTGTGTATACTTGAATTTAGTGCAAACGGGTTCAGCAATACGAAAAATAAGAACTAAACAAGATATCCCGAAAAATGGGCAGTTGAATGAAAACAGTCCATCCCCGAAAACAGTCTATCCACTAAAACAGCCTATCCACGAAAACAACAGTCTATCCCCGAAAACTGTCTATCCACGTAAACAGACTATCCACGAAAACAACAGTCTATCTCCGAAAACGGTCTATCCTCGAAAACAGTCTATACTCTAAAATAGCCTATCCACGAAAACAAGAGTCTATCAGCAAAAACTGTCTATCCTCGAAAACAATCTATCCACGAAAGCAACAGTCTATCCCCGAAAACTGTCTATCTTCGAAAAGAGTCTATAATCTAAAACAGCCTATCCACGAAAACAACAGTCCTTCCCCGAAAATAGTCTATCCCTGAAAACAGTCTATCCTCGAAAACAGTCTATCCACGAAAAAATAGGTATTTCGCTTCAGAAAATTTCATTGTTATTCAGAAAAGGGTTTTTAACTGTTGTATCCACGAAAACTTTTCTTCTTATATGGTAGTCCATTGTATCTCAGATGAAGAGATAATCTTGTATCTTAGGTATCTTATGTGGATGTATCTTAGGCATATGCTTGGATACGCTAAAATAGCCAATCCACGAAAATTTAGTCTATCACCAAAAAAAAGTCTATCCTTTTCAACAGAAATCCACGAAAACAACAAAATGTCCTCGAAAACATGGCCCCTTTCCACAGTCTATCCTCAAAAACCGCCTATCCACGAAAGCAACAGTCTATCCCCGAAACCAGTCTATCCTCGAAAACAGCCCATCCACGAAAAAAACAGTCTATCCTCGAAAACAGTCTACCCACGAAAACAGCCTATCCACGAAAACAACAGTCTATCCACGAAAACTGTCTATCCACGTAAACAGTCTATCCACGAAAACAACAGTCTATGCCCGAAAACTGACTATCCACAAAAACAACAGTCTATCCCAGAAAACGGTCTATCCTCGAAAACAATCTATCCACGAAAGCAACAGTCTTTTCCCGAAAACTATCTATCCACGAAAACAGACTATCCACGAAAACAACAGTCTATTCCCGAAAAATGTCTATCCTCGAAAAGAGTCTATAATCTAAAACAGTCTATCCACGAAAACAACAGTCCTTCCCCGAAAACAGTCTATCCGTGAAAACAGTCTATCCCCGAAAACTGTCTATCCCCGAAAACAGTCTATCCTCGTAAACAGCCTATTGTGGCACCATTTACGAGGCTGAGAAAGGAAAAGAAAGAAAAGAAGGCAGAAAGAAAGGCGAGACGAATCGTGGGTGATCAGCAGAACGCACACACGGCTAAGAGACAATGAATATATTGATAAGTAACCATGGCGAAAGGGTGTCATTACAATGACAGGGAAATTCTGGGTAAGAAGAAAAAGGAAAGAAAGAAAGAAACAGATGTGTTTTGATAACGGCTGTGTTATCTAGGAGTACGTAAACAAAACGGCTGCTCGACTGGCCAACGAAAAAATTCAATTGAAAACGTTAATTTTGATAATTGACAAAACACAGGTGTAACTACAGGACTTTGGGTAGTTATGAAAAATTAAAACCACACAAGCCGTGTCCGCTGACCGAATTTTTTCGACGAAACAACTTTCGCATGCGATAATAAAATTATGTTATCAGAAATATGTACCGAAGGAAAATGAATTTGGACCCAGAAGTGTTTTTTCTTCTTCCTTGGAGGCGACGGACTGGCTGAAATTTTAGAGATATTTCTTTTTTGAGGCCGTGTTAAGAAGACCATCCATTTTGATAATTCGCGATAAAATACCTGACAAAAACCACGTGTAGAACAAGAGTTGTCATATTGTCCGTTTGCGGCTAGAAAAATGATAACGGCGATTAAAGCAGAAGAAAAGGGAAAGAGAAGAGATAATTTTTTTAGTTAAGCAAGATATTTTTTTTCCCCGAAACAAAGCCGCGGATTGTTCACGCCCGACTAAGACATCATTGGTCAAGTGGTGATCACGTGACGCACGAAGGAGGAGGAAAGATACCCGACTAAGACTTCATTGGTCGAGTGGTGATCACGTGACGCACGAAGGAGGCTGTCGATGCCTCATCCAGAATATAAGTATGAGAAGCTGCTACGAAGAAGTGGGAAGGGCAGTTCATGCCCTCTGAAGTATGGTGAGAAAGTGGGAGTAAGGAAAGGTTCCCAAAAATGGAAAAGACTGGAAAACCCCTAACCAGAAATAAAAGAGGTGGATATGTATTTAGAATTATCGAGGAACCCCCCGACGCCGACAGACCCACCCCGGTTTTGGTCGGCGTCAATAAAAGCGAGGCCCCAACAGGCAGAAATGGGAGTTCGAGCTCCAGCGGAGAGTTGAGTTTCCAGAGTTGAGTTCCAGCACTTCCAGTGAGTTTAGCTGATTCACGCAAAATTCCGGACTCCTCTTCAACCCAAGAACAATTATTTTGAAGAGCGACTTAGAACCAGACCACCGAAATAAGTTTTTTTCGACTTTCGTCCAAAGACACACCGAAACGCCAATTTCTTAGAGAGCAAACAACTTGAAGCGTTAAAAACTTGCCTAACGGAAAACGACGTGTCAAAATCCACAGAACGGGTCGGGAGGTAGATGCAGTCCTATGTATCGAACAACTAGACATAAAGTTTGTTGCCTTTTTCTTTGATACTTTGAACTTTTAGAGATTTCATTTTATTTTCTTTTATGCATATTTGTGTAGTATCACCCCCGTTGAACTCAGTTTGCATTACGTCCCCAACCACTGTTTGATCTCGTCTGTCTAAGATCAATTCACAACGTGGTTAGGCAGACTGGAGATCAATGCAGTTACCTTGGTAACCAGGCGTTGGAAGCGAGTTGGGAACGACGAGGCTGATATCAAATCTAACCAGATTCCCACCAGAATCACCAAAAGGTTAGAACGTCACATTTGGGTGCCGCGACCGATACCAAGCCAGTTGGTCGTCACAGGACGAGACAACACGACTGACACGACAGGCTGTTTGGGGACGTCAAAGCTGGCGCCGTGGTAGATCAGGATAGAACGTCACAGTCGGCGCTGCGACCGGGGGACGACGTCACAACTGGTGCCGTGACCATAGGATAGAACCCTGGAACAGCCACTGCCACAATTAGTACCGTGACAGCAGGACAGGATCCTGGATCGACCGCTGTTGCTGAGAAATTTTTAATAGGACTCAAAACGACCCGTGAACGAGAGGAACGAGAACAGAATCGTCTGTAATGTAGGACACTTTGTTTGATTTCCCAACCTCGATTGTTGCTGCGTAGATTGTCTTTCTCTTTAAATATGTCGGACTATGATTCAGATAGAGTAGTGGGGGATGAAGAGGGGGTTAGACAAGGGTTGTCAGCTGACCTAAGAAGGTTGTTGGGTGGACCGAGGGTCCCAGCATTTGACGGCAGTGGGAAAGATTTCAAAAACTGGCTGGCAATCCTGGAGAAGAGCCGAGTTATATATGAACCCACGGACCAAGAAACCCTGTATCTTGCATACGATGCCACAAAGGGGAAAGCCTCTGAGTTTATGAAGGAGCTTTTGGAGAGTCAACCCCACTTGTCTTGGGAAAGATTAAAGGGACTATTGACCAAGGAATTCGCCGACGAGGGCACACGAGGGCTATAGAGGCCATGAGGGGCCTTCCCAGAAGTGGTTAGTTGACACAGCTGCAGGACGAAACCCCGTAGAGAATTGGGGGCCCGAGCAGGGAGCCAGGGCGTAAGGTGAAAAGGTGTGAAGGAAACAGTCATCATCAAGGGTGCCCCACCGATAATTAACAAAGAAGGTGTGAACCCAAGAAAGACAGGACCACGGGAAGATACAGCGGGACCACCCCGGAATTAAGAGGGGGTGGCCCAGTTAAAAAAAGAAGGGAAATAAAAGCTTGGACCAGTGGTCAAAAAGAAGGCAGGCCCAAGAGACTTTAAGGGGAGGGGCCCAGTTAAAAAATAGGACAGTGGTCGGGCCCCTGGAAGTAAACGGGAGTAGGTTAGCCCAGTTGAAGAGAAAAAGAGCAAAATGTTGGACATGTGGTCAGGTGGGACACTTTGCGTGAACTGTCCGGCAAGAAGGTGCTGGTTTTGTGGGAGACCAGGGCACCTGAAGAGAAGCTGTATCCTTAAGAACAGCCGCGGGAGACTGGGAGAGGTCCAGCCGGCGCCGCCCAGGTGTGGGGAGCGCAGAACTCCCCCTCGTAAGAATAATGAAGGTGATTTATTGCTACCGGCGCCTATGGCTGGGACCCAAAGGTGGGAACCCAAAGATAGGGGTAAGGCGATGAAGAGAAAGAGCTATCCTCTAGGGGGGTAAGGCGATGACACAGGGAGCATCTGTGTCATTGATGAGAGAGGAAGCATACAGGCGGGTGAAACGGAAGAGAAGGTTACGGGAAGCGGACATAGAGGTAACACAAGCAGATGGAGCCCCCCCCCCCTGAACATAAAAGGGATGGTGAGGCTCCCGGTGAGGATTGGGAAATTAAGAAGCACCCAAAATTTTTACGTAACCCCCGACCTGTGTACGGAGGCAATCTTGGGAGAAGATTGTCTCCGGAGCCAGTGGGCCCAGATAGAGTTCAACCCCACTGTGTTGATAGTGAATGGCGAGAGAACGCCATTGGGATGCCCACCAGAAGAAGATATAACAATAGTGGTGGAGGAAGATGTAAAGCTATCCCCTAGAACGGCGGTGTCGGGAAAGGGTAGGTTAATGTCAGGGAAGAAAATAGGAAAAGGACCCCTGCAGTTGGTCCCTGTAGAAGGGAAAGGTTTAGAAGAGAATGATGTAACTCTGTGTGAGACGGTGGTAGAGGCAGCTGAATTAGTGCCCATTATGATGGTGAACCAGGCCCAAAAGACTATAAAGGTTAGGAGAGGTGAAGAGATAGGGAAAGCGCTTCCCCTACGGACTCTGAATCGGGTGAGATTCGAAGAGGAACGAAGAAAACTTGTAGAACAAACAAAAGGAATAGTGGACGAAGATATATTAGCACCGGATCAATTTAGAAGCAGAGTGGAGGGTCTGCTGAGGGATAATCGAGATGTGGTAGCACAGTCAGACAAGGAATTGGGCCAGACCCACACAGTCAAAATTAAAATCGACACCGGAGATCACCCCCCTGTGAAATTAAAACCCTACCGGACACCTATTCATAAAAGACCCCTTGTAGAAGAGGCAGTAGAAGAGATGTTGGAAGCTGGGATGATCGAAAGATCGATCTCCCCTTGGAGCTTTCCAATAGTAATAGTGGGTAAGAAAGATGGCGGGCACCGTTTTTGTGTAGATTTTAAGAAATTGAATTCTATATCGAAGCCGTTGGCGGTGCCATTGCCACTAATAGATGACATATTGGCATTATTAGGGAAGGCAACGTACTTCTCTACATTGGACTTGAGGTCCGGGTAGTGGCAGGTAGCCCTTGATGAGGCTGACAAGGAGAAGGCCGCATTTGCGTGTCACCTAGGACTGTTCCAATTCAGGGTGATGCCATTCGGTTTAGCTAATGCCCCGGGAATCTTCCAATAGCTAATGTCAATAGTGTTAGGAGGATACGAGAGCTTTGCCATGGCATATTTGGACGATATCTTAATATTTTCGGAGACAGTAGAACAACACTTTTTCCATCTAAAACAAGTGTTGGGAAGGTTAAGAAAACACGGCTTAAAATTAAAATTGTCGAAGTGTCAGTTTCTGAAGGAGGAGACCAGATATTTGGGCTTTGTTGTAAACGGAGACGGTATTAAACCCGACATGGATAAGGTGAAAGTCATAAGGGAAATGCCAGAACCTAAGACAGTGAGACAGGTAAGAGGTTTTATATGAGCTATAGGTTACTACAGACGCTTCATCCCGGCATTTTCGAGAATTGCCATACCACTAGTAGCCCTGACGAAGAAATACGCTAGGTTCAAGTGGACAGAGGACTGTCAACGGGCATTTGATACGTTAAAGGAACAGTTGACAACCGTCCCACTGCTGACGTACCCAGACCTTAGCAAGCCCATGGTACTATACACTGATGCCAGTGAGCAGTGTGTAGGAGCAGTTCTTACCCAGTCGTGTCCGGATAAAGAAGGACCAGTGCCAGGCATACCAGAGGAAGTACCGATATACTTCCTCTCTCATAAGCTCT